TGGGAGGGATTAAAATCAGATTAAAATTGAAAATATAGCCGTTATTGTTGACTTTTATTAGACGAGTGGGGTCCAATAACGGCCATATTTTCAATTTTAATTGGCTTTTAATCCCTCCCGAACGGGGCCTAAATTAAAAATTTAGATTAAAAAAATTAATTGCTAAGAAAATTCACACAATAATATATATTAAAATATGTATATAGTATTTGTAATCGGATTATCTTTAAAGAGAAGATCTTGATTTCGATGATCGGCCACTTTGAAAACAATGAGAAATTTGAGTTCTTATGAACGATTTAGATTTTAATTAATATTGATTATCCATTATATTTTACTGTAAAAGAGAGAAGAAGTGTATGGATAGTAAAATTTTGGCGTGAGATAATTTTAAGGTTTAGTGTCCAAATATCTGGTACCTATTTGTGCAATATACCAAAAATATATTTAAAAAAAAGAGAGAGAAACTAGAAAGAATCAAATTCACTTTTGGATCTTAAGATAGCATCAAGAAACTAGGCATAATCAAGATAAAATTATAAGTACAAAATCGATTTTAAAATATGCATTCGTAAACAAAATTAACTCATTATTCTTCAATTGAAAATTCTCTTCATTGTTTATTTTTGTATCAATCATAACTTATTTTCGAAAAACCTCACTGTAACTTGAAAATGTGTAATATAGTGTAGGAAATAGACGATACTCACAAAAGAGATAGAAGTCCAAACTTTTGTTAGGCATGTAGTCATAGATTATCATCTTCTCATCTCTATCTTTGCAGTATCCCAATAATTTGACAAGATTCACGTGTTGGATTTGAGATATAAGTCTTAGTTCGGTTTCGAACTCTACCAATCCTTGCCTTGACCTTTGTGAGAGTACCTTTACTGCAATTTTTTGCCCTTCAACTGTTTCTCCCTGTAATGATATATAAACACATACATGTACTTCATTTATTATTAAATTAGTGGATGATGTCAAAGGGAGTGGCCATGTCATATTTATATGGAAGCAATACTAATAAATTTATCAGAAGAAGAAATAGTTGCAGATCGCGCACGTAGTGTTTAAATTATAAATACATAGAAACGAGTGATGCATACGTAGGTATTACTTGTTTCTGGTCACTCAAAATGTGCGGATAAAATGTGGTCCGAGTGTTTATAAAAAATTTATAAACTTGAGCTAAATATTGGCTAAAATTTATGTCTTCTAAGAAAGTAAGATCCCAGGCAATGGTTAATAAAGAGAAAAGGCAATAAGAGTTTTTCCGCAGCGACGATCAAATGCCTTTTCAACTACTCTGATGCAAGAATGAGGTGCTACTTGAAGCTCCAAAGGGCTGCAAAATGGCTCAAAGAATGTGGTTTTACCTTTTACTGCAACTTTAGGATTAGAGAAATACTTATATACCATAAAGACATACTTCCTATTCAAAGAACACCTAAAACTGCATACATAATATTCTCAACATAGTTGCCAATATTCTCATTTAACAAGAAAATATTTTACAATTCAAAATACCTTATAAACCGAGCCAAAACCACCCTCTCCCAGTTTGTTTGTTGACGAAAAGCTGCCCGTAGCTCTAACGATAGACGAATATGTAAACAGTCTAAGATGATGACCTTGTCCCCCGTCACTTTCAACCGTATGTGTTTCAGTATATTCCTCTAGGGTCATCAGTTCACGTAATTCTTTCTCCTTTCTTTTCCCTATGAGATGATCAACCAAAGCATCAACATAAGAATGCCAATCAAGATCATTAAGAAAATTAGAACTGGAAAAGATAGAAATATCAAAATAAAAATTCAATTGGGATATTAAAAATATTTACAAAACACACCATGTACAGATTTTGTTATATATTCATAAATTACAATTTACGTAGTATTATGATTAGACGTTAGTCTATTTAGATAATAATTGCAATACTCACTACATTAAAAATGACAGCGCAACTACAACTCTTGGAATGAATCTTATTGTATGTACTGTAATCATCTTTCCAGTTATTCTGTTGAAGAAAAACTGTATGCATATAATCTTCTCCTCTCTTATAATACATAGAACCTTCTTTATAATCTTCTCTTCTCCAGCTCTACGATATTTGTTATAGGTATTTTATTTTTATGGAATATGAAGAAAGTTTTTAAAAGCTACAAGTGATCGGAAAGATACCTTGTTCAATTTTTCGGATGATGAACCATACACAGCCCAACAAAAGTGCGACTACTGTAATAACCAAAGTAATGATTTTCCATGTCTTCCATCCTGTCATTTATCATTTGATGATAGTAAACGCATTGCCGAAAGAGAAATATCTCTATGAGACGTCATGAATAGAGCAAAAAGGGAAGTACATTTATTGACCTGCATATCCCTTCATATATCTTAACGTATCTTAACGTATTAGGTCAGAAGAAATTTCTTTTGCAAAAAATCAGAACCCAAATGAAAAAAAAATAAATAAAAAATAAGAGAGAGAGAGAGAGAGAGATTCTAAACCCCAAACAGAGGAATTGAAGTAAGGAAATGTATGCATATGGTGAAAAATTCTTGATAAAATGATAAGAACTTACTTTTGGCCGAAGACTCTATTTTGTTTGAAGCCTCTGAAACAAGAACGAATTGTTTAGGTTCAGAACCATCATAACTCTGTACAAAAGTCAAATTTTTCCCTTTCCAGTAGGAACATCCATAGGCATCTCCACTACTAAAGCCTACACATTCACAGTCCTTCCAGCAGTTGTCTCTGCAGTCTATCTCAGTAAGACTGGCATTATCATCTTTATCATAAGCAGATTCTGCAATTGGCTGGCTCCCATCTCCATTAGCGAAATGCCCTGATTTCCGAACAAATGAATCATTAAGATTCCTGCAACTTGGCTGCTCCCATAATTCACAGCCTTTTATGTTATCACGATAACAGAGACGTACTTGTGCCATCGTTTGATTATCAATATCATATATATCCCCGTTAAATTTCAGCCGCAATAGAGAAATAGTTTTTCGATGTTCAGATGTCAACTTGGGGTCTATTATAAGGGAGTAGCTGAAGTAATCCTCCTCGCCATTTGAAACATAGGTGAAATTGAAAACATCGGGTTTCATGACTATATTCTCAAATTCCTTGACATTCAATCTCGAGTTCTCATCCGTATAATTTTTCAAGTCCCCACTGGTCCAAAGAACCAACCCTCGCTGTTTAACAATCAATCTATGTCTGGCTGGATCCCATTCTAGCGTAAAAATTCCTGAAGCGGGATTGTTTTCGCCAAACCATGATGTAAGAGACCAACTTCTCCCAGTCCTATGATTAACACCTAGTTTCATCCCCGGAATAAGAGTATCAGTGGGATAATCAAAGCTTTCCCACAAACTCCTGCCTGCAGAACCATTTATATTCATCTCCCTCACTACAAAATTCCCCGAATTCAACAGCGTGGCTGTTATATTTGTGCCATTTCCGCCTGCATACAGCTCAATAGGATCTGATCTGTTGCTTGTTATAATAAGTTTTCCAGCACTACTTATTGTGAGAATGCCAGAATTATCCATAATAGGTTTTTCTCTGTTACCAAGCCATACTGGATAGTCCGAATAAGAATCTGTGTACCATATTCCTAAGTAATTATTGGTATCTTCGAGCTTATAGAATCCTAAAGTGAAAACTTTGTTTGCAGAAACTAAGGAAGCAGATGAATTTAGACTATCCCCATGTCTAAGGGTGTCAACAGATGAAACAAGGGACACCAAGCAATAGAATGTCAAAAGGAAGAATGATATGGTTAGGATTACAGCTTTCTCCATTTGGATATGATCAGCAATTGTTAGAGCCAATAATATAAAGACGGACTCGTGATTTGAGTTTTTACATTGCATAAATCAGTAAACACCAACAATAATTGAATATTAATTAATGGGACCATCTTCCCTGGCACTAAATTTATTGATTACAATAGAAGACTCTTGCAAGTTTTATTTTACATTATTTTATTTTATTTTATTTTATTTGTCTTTTTCAAGTTTCTATCGTCTTTCATTTGATTTTTTCAAAATACATTCATCTAATCCTACCAAGATTAAATTTTCAAATTTTTCGACCAATAAATTTGGCAAGACTTCAGCAATAATATCGATGGAAGTGTGTGGTGTTTCAAATATTATATATAAGAGTTTATATGCTCTTATGGCATATCAATGTGAAACATCATTAGGATATCTTGAAAAAAAAATCTCAAATCTTCAAATTTACTCTTCTTTTATTTTTATTTTATATACAAGGTAAAACTCGCCCCTAAATAGAGTTCAATTACTTGTAAGCATTTATTCATTAATCAAACAACAACAATATAATGGAAAAAGAAATAATTTGCACAAACTAGTGTTATAGCTATAAATTACGTGGCATACACATGATGGAGAGGTTCCCACATATGCCGACTTGGCATCGAATATTCAATTGAACGCTTGGACTTGGGCTTGTTCACTGAACCTATTTTGGTACATCTATTACTTGATCGTCGAAGTGCAAACAATCGTCAGACATTTTTCTTGGTCGGAGACCTTACATCCTGATGAAATATCCTGATGAAATTCCAATACACAGACTGCGTGGAGGGAAGGAGGCCATGATTATGTTGGCCACGTCATTCGTGCACAAATTGAGCTCAAAAGCTAATATATAAAAACAAATTCCACATTGTATTAGGCATTGTGAAAAATAGGGAAAAAATAAAAGCAAAAAATTAAAAATACAACCATTTAAATGAATAATTTGTATCACTTTAAATGATCGTCAAGAGTTAAAAGTTCGCAAAGGAATTTTTCGTTAGTTTTACTAACCAAAATATATTGATACCTTGTTGAGGAATTTGTTATTCCAAGTCTTTGTCTTCAACTTCTTTAGGATCTTCCTTATATTGATCTTGAATATTCATTTGCTCAAAAGGGGTTTTCAAGTCTACATCAATACTTTTCTCTTGCTCATTGCTCAAAAGGGGTTTCCAAACCTATATTGATACCTTTCTCTTGATCAAGAGAATTAGCTTCATCAAAAGTAACACGCATGGATTTTTCCACTACTAAAGTTCTTTTATTGAAAACTCTATAAGCTTTGCTAATAGGTGAATATCCAAGGAAAATTCCAACATCGGATTTTGAATCAAATTTTTTCAAATTTTCTTTTGAATTGAGTATAAAACATTTGCAACCAAAAAATTTAAAATAACTAATGTTGGGAATTCTATTTTTCCAAAACTCATATGGAGTTTTGGTGTTCTTTCGACTTACCAAAACTCTATTCATAATGTAGCAAGCGGTATTAACGGCTTCGGCCCAAAAATATTTGGGTAAATTGTTTTCATTTAACATGGTTCTAGCCATTTCTTGTAATGTACGATTCTTTCGTTCTATTACACCATTTTGTTGAGGAGTTCTAGGAGCCGAAAAGTGATGTTTATATCCATTTTCTTTGCAAAAATCATCAAAAGCAATATTATCAAATTCTCCACCATGGTCACTTCTAATGGTTGTGATAGAATATCCTTTTTCATTTTGAATATTTTTACAAAAGTGTTTAAATATTCTTAAAACTTCATTTTTCAAGTTCAAAAACAAAACTCAAGTGAATCTTGAAAAATCATCAATGATAACAAATGCATAGTGCTTGCCACTTAAACTTGCGGTTTTAGTCCAAAAAGATCCTTGTGAAGAAGTTGTAAAGGTTTTGTAGTTGAAGAGAATTGCTTGGTTTTGAAAGAGGTTTTAGTTTGTTTTCCAAATTAACAAGCATCACAAATTTTGTCTTTTTCAAATTTCAAGTTTGGTAGGCCTTTAACAAACAATTTTTTGAGATTTTTGAAATTAGGTCCATACTAATATGACCTAATCTTCTATGCCATAACCAACTATCATCTTTAAAACTTAACAAACATTTCAATAATTGGTGTATGAGTGGGAAACGTGTGGGGTGGGATAGGGTAATTGATAGGGATTTTGGAAACTAAATTTTTGACCAAATCCTATCAATATAAGATTCTCACACATTGTCAAATCAATCCCAACTAAAGAATATAAAATAGAAAAACAAACTAACACATCACGTGGCACACTTTCTCTCTTTCCATTAATTTATTATTATAATATTTCCTTCCTTAATTTGACAAAATCAATTATTAATTTCCCCAACTTGCCTTATACGGTGTCGGCAATTAAGTTTCTAATCCCATCAATTAATCCAATTAAAATACAATTCAAACAATATCTTTCAACCTCGACATCTTTGGCTTCGCTAATCCAAATTCACTTTTTCTCGAGCCTAAAGTGCATAATTAATTACGACTTATCCAACGAGCCTAATATTCATATCTTTATCATACTCGGTCAAAATATAAATATATGACCCAAATAAAAAAATTGAAATTGCTATATATCATTTTAGTCTCTAACTTTCAAAACATCAAGATATAGCACACAAAATATAAATTCTATTCTATGAAAATTTTCGGGGCATTACAATCTCCCCTCCTTAAAATATTTTCGTCCTCGAAAATTTACGTTGGTCAATCGAAGAGTTCTGGATACTTGATCTTAAGCTCATCTTCCTTCTCCCAAGTTCATTCATCAAGTCCATGATTTCGCCATTGGACCTTGACTAAGGGAATTTCTCTGTTTCTGAGTTGATGCACTTTTCTGTTCAAAGTCATTGTCGGGATTTCTTCGTATGATAAGTCTTTTTGTACTTCCAAAGTTTGGTAACTTACGACATGATTGAGATCATAAACATATTTTCTAAGTATCGAAATATGAAACACATTATGCACTGCTGCAAGTTCAGGTGATAAGGCAAGTCGATAAGCCACAACACCAATCCTTTCAAGAATTTCAAAAGGTCCAATATATCGTGGTCTCAACTTTCCCTTATTACCAAATCTCAATACACCCTTCATAGTAGCTACTTTCAGAAAAACTTTGTCACCAACTTNACTCCAAATCTTTTCTTCTACCATCAGCATAACTTTTCTGTCGGTCTTGTGCTGTCTTTATTCTTGCTCTAATCTTGTCAATTGCCTCGACTGTTCGTTCAATAATTTCAAGACCCAAAATTCTATTCTCTCCAACCTCATCCCAATGGATAGGGGATCTTCACTTCCTACCATAAAGAGCTTGGTATGGAGCCATGCCTATAGTGGCCTGAAAACTTTTGTTGTAAGCAAACTCCACTAATGGTAGATGTGTTTCCCAACTACCGCCAAGATCCGAAACACACGCCCTCAACATATCTTCAAGAGTTTGAATGGTTCTTTCCGATTGCCCATCCGTCTGTGGATGATAAGCAGTGCTAAATTTCAATTTCGTCCCCATGGCTCCTTGTAAGCTTTTCCAAAATTTCGATGTGAATCGCGGGTCTCTATCTGAAACAATGGTGATTGGAACTCCATACAATCTGACTATCTCTCTGATGTATAACTGTGCGAGTTGTTCCATATTAAAATTTACCTTGATTGGCAGAAAATGGGCAGACTTCGTCAAACGATCAACCACTACCCAAATAGCATTGTGACCTCTTGCCGATCTCGGAAAACCTACCACAAAGTCCATCGCTATGTGTTCTCATTTCCATTCTGGAATATCCAATGGTTTTAGTAGTCCTGATGGCCTTTGATGTTCTACTTTGACCTGTTGACAGACAATACATTTTTCTACAAACAGACCAATTCCTCTCTTCATATTTCTCCATCAAAATGTATATCGGACATTTTCGTATTATCAGGATGTGCAGCATACGGGGTGGAATGAGCATCTTCCAATATCTCGTTTCTTATAGTTTCATCTTTAGGTACATACAACCTTCCTCTAAAAGTTAGCACGTTATCTGTAGATACTTCAAACCCTATACGTTTGTTTGAACCAACATCAGCCTTAATTCTCTGTAGGAATGGATCCTTATCTTGTGCTTACTTGATTCGATCCCAAAGAGTAGGTTGAATTATAAATGCTTTTATTCTCGCTGTAGCTTGAGTTGGCAGCGTGATGACTTCTAATCTCAGTTTCTTAAAGTCCTTTATCAAGTGTTCCAGCACTGTGGGTAAAACTGCTAACTATGATCATGTCTTCCTACTTAAGGTGTCTACGACTACGTTAGCTTTACCCGGATTGTAAAGAATTATACAGTCATAATCTTTCACTAACTTCAACCATCTCCTCTGTCTCATATTCAGTTCCTTCCATGTGAAAAGTATTTGAGACTGTTATGGTCCGTATAGATTTCACACTTCCTTTCATACAAATAATGACTCGACATTTTTAAAGTGTGAACCACTACTGCAAGTTTCAAGTCGTGCGTAGGATAATTATGTTCATACTGCTTCAATCACCTTTCCATGCTGAATCAGAACACAGTCCAAATCCTGCTTGGAGGAGCTATAAATTACAAACCCATCCGAACCTTCNGTTCTTGAAAACACCTTTCACATGTTTCCGTCCACTGAAACTTCACACCCTTTCTTGTCAGCTGAGTCATTGGCCCCACTATTTTTTAGAAGCCCTCAATAAATCTTCTATAATAGCCAGTCAATCCCCAAAAACTACGAACATCACTGACACTGGTCGGTCTAGGCCAATTTGTTACTGGTTCCACCTTAACTAGGTCTACCTTAATACCCTGAGCAATAACCATGTGACCAAGAAAACCTACTCAATCGAGTCAAAATTCGCACTTCTTGAATTGGGCATACAATCTTTCTTTCCTCAAGGTTTCAAGTACTACTCAAAGTTGTTCCTCATGTTACTGTTTATCTTTGGAGTAC